GGTGTATATTTCTATAATAATAATGGTGTATATTTCTATAATAATAATGGTGTATATTTCTATAATAATAATGGTGTATATTTCTATAATAATAATGGTGTATATTTCTATAATAATAATGGTATATAATAAAAAAAGTCTGGTTTAAATTTTTTTTTTTCAAAATAGGTTCGTAGGTGTAGCTGGGGGGGGGGGGGTGTCAAAAATGGTCGTGGGGGTCAGAAAGTGACCGTGGCGCGCTCGGACCCGTAGCCCTGAAGAAGAGAATATTAGGCATTTGAAGAAGAGGTCAATTCAATAAGCTCATGATCAGAGACCATGAACACTTATTGAGTATGTCTTCTGGTACCTCAAAAAAAAAAATATTTTTGTATTTTTTGTATTTCATACATTATTATCTATACATTTATTACAGAGGGTTACAGCTTACAAAATACACAGATATGACACTGTTCAAACAACCCACGTTCAGTCCGCGCGCCCAAAAATTACAGCAGACATTGCAACATAGAGTTATGCAAGATAGCATAACAGCATAGAGTTATGCAAGATAGCATAACAGCATAGAGTTATGCAAGATAGCATAACAACATAGAGTTTATGCAACATAGCAGAACAACATAGTTATGCAAGATAGCATAACAACATAGAGTTATGCAAGATAGCATAACAGCATAGAGTTATGCAAGATAGCATAACAACATAGAGTTATGGAACATAGCATAACAGCATAGAGTTATGCAAGATAGCATAACAGCATAGAGTTATGCAAGATAGCATAACAACATAGTTATGCAAGATAGCATAACAGCATAGAGTTATGCAAGATAGCATAACAACATAGAGTTATGCAAGATAGCATAACAACATAGTTATGCAAGATAGCATAACAGCATAGAGTTATGCAAGATAGCATAACAACATAGAGTTACTCCCCATCAGTAGGCAAAGATAACCAGCTCCTTATAAACCCTTACAAGACAACTCAGTCTCACCTGAACCTAACGACCTCTGACACGTTTGACCTTTACAACTGCCTTGTTCGCTCAACACGCGCTCCTCACGAACGACATAATCTCCAAGCAGAGGCTGAAGTGGGGGGGGTTGGGATTAGGCGTCCACTACGGGCTCACCATAGCCCGTGCTGCTTGGAACTCTAAATCTAACTTGTAAATCAAAAACAATAGAGGCTGACGGAGTTCTTATCTCAAGAGAAGCCTCTCTTGGGGGGAGTCGACTCTACTACTCTATAATACAGAGGAAGGTGTTCCCTCCCTCCCTCCCCCCCTTAACTATTCTCGCCCTCCCGTCTGGACTCGAACCCTGGGCCATTACTGGCCCTCATCGGAGGTCACTCGGTCATTTTGTTTCATTTTAGTAATTTATTATGCTTCCTGTAGCTCTATGAAGCCCTCCTGTAGCGCTATGTGGCTTCCTGTAGCTCTATGCTGCTTCTTGAGGCTCTATGCGGCCTCCTGTATCTCAATGTGGCTTCCTGTAGCTCTATGCGGCCTACTGTAGCTCTATGTGGCTTCTTGAGGCTCTATGCGGCCTTCTGTAGCTCTATGCGGCCTCTTGTATCTCTATGTGGGTTCGTGTAGCTCTATGCAGCCTCCTGTTGCTTTATGTGGCTTCTTGAGGCTCTATGCAGCCTTCTGTAGCTCTATGCGGCCTCCTGTTTCTCTATGTGGCTTCCTGTATCTCTATGTGACTTCCTGTAGCCTCACGCAGCTTTTCTGTAGCTCTATGCGGCCTCCTGTATCTCTATGTGGGTTCCTGTAGCTCTATGTGGCTTCTTGAGGCTCTATGCGGCCTCATGTAGCTCTATGTGGCTTCCTGTAGCTCTATGCGGCCTCCTGTATCTCTATGTGGGTTCCTGTAGCTCTATGTGGCTTCTTGAGGCTCTATGCGGCCTCCTGTAGCTCTATGTGGCTTCCTGTAGCTCTATGCGGCCTCCTGTATCTCTATGTGGCTTCATGTAACTTTATGCGGCCTCATGTAGTTCTATGCGGCCTCCTGTAGCTCTATGCGGCCTCATGTAGTTCTATGCGGCCTGCTGTTGCATTAAGCAGACCAATGGAAATGGTTAAATACACACAGCTATCGTAACATGTGTGTATACAGAGCTATCATAACATGTGTGTATACAGAGCTATCGTAACATGTGTGTATACAGAGCTATCATAACATGTGTGTATACAGAGCTATCGTAACATGTGTGTATACAGAGCTATCATAACATGTGTGTATACAGAGCTATCGTAACATGTGTGTATACAGAGCTATCATAACATGTGTGTATACTGAGCTATCGTAACATGTGTGTATACAGAGCTATCATAACATGTGTGTATACATAGCTATCGTAACATGTGTGTATACAGAGCTATCGTAGCACCTTTGTGCACAGAGCGTGTGTTAGAGAGAAATATAAGTAACAGACATAATAAGAGGAAAAAACAGATTAACTAGCAAAGGCGGAGTCCAAGAGCTTAATATCTCGATTCTGCAGACACCAAAAATAAACACACTGAGACCTTACGATCTAGACAAGGCAGTCAGTCAGGCCACCAATGTGCACTCAGATCACGTTATCTAAAATACAATATAGGCCTATGTGGCCAACTCACCTAGGCCTCCTCCCCCCCCCACCAGGTGTGCCCAAACGCCTCTCCCTTACCTGTGGGGAAGGAACTGACAAGTTACAAGGAGAGACACACAAGCCCTGAACCACGACCTTCCCTTCCCTCAGTGGCTTCCCTCACCGTACAAATATCGGTGGTTTGGGGAAATTCAAACCCACCGTAATAATGACGCTTTGTGGGACTAATGTACTATCTGATCCTGTAGATTAGGTAGGATGTTCTGAGGCTTTTGGGTAAGGCAAAACATGTGCATTTTTTACGGAGAGGCTAAAAGGGGGGTGCATAAAGCTAGGAGGGGGCTGCATAAAGCTACAGTGGGGTTGCATAAAGCTACAGTGGGGTTGCATAAAGCTACAAAGTGGGGGGAGGGCTGCATAAAGCTACAAAGTGGGGGGGGGCTGCATAAAGCTACAAAGTGGGGGGAGGGCTGCATAAAGCTACAAAGTGGGGGGGCTGCATAAAGCTACAAAGTGGGGGGGGGGGCTGCATAAAGCTACAAAGTGGGGGGGCTGCATAAAGCTACAGGAGGGCTGTATAAAGCTACAAAGTGGGGGGGCTGCATAAAGCTACAAAGTGGGGGGGGGGCTGCATAAAGCTACAGGAGGGCTGCATAAATCTACAAAGTGGGGGGCTGCATAAAGCTACAAAGTGGGGGGGGGGCTGCATAAAGCTACAGGAGGGATGCATAAAGCTACAAAGTGGGGGGGCTGCATAAAGCTACAAGTGGGGGGCTGCATAAAGCTACAGGAGGGATGCATAAAGCTACAAAGTGGAGGGGCTGCATAAAGCTACAAAGTGGAGGGGGGCTGCATAAAGCTACAGGGGGGGACTGCATAAAGCTACAGGGGGGCTGCATAAAGCTACAGGGGGGGCTGCATAAAGCTACAGGGGGGGCTGCATAAAGCTACAGGGGGACTGGATAAAGCTACATGGGGCTGCATAAAGCTACAGAGTGGCTGCATAAAGCTACAGGGGGACTGGATAAAGCTACAGAGTGGCTGCATAAAGCTACATGGGGCTGCATAAAGCTACAGGGGGTCTTGGATAAAGCTACAGGGGGTCTTGGATAAAGCTACAGGGGGGACGCATAAAAATACAGGGGACTGGATAAAGCTACAGGGGGCTGCATAAAGCTACAGGGGGCTGCATAAAGCTACAGGGGGCTGCATGAAGCTACATGGGGGCTGCATAAAGCTAAAGGGGGGCTGCATAAAGCTACAGGGGGCTGCATAAAGCTTCAGGGGGCTTCATAAAGCTACAGGGGGCTGCATAAAGCTACAGGGGGCTTCATAAAGCTACAGGGGACTGCATAAAGCTACAGTGGGATTGCATAAAGCTACAAAGTGGGGGGAGGGCTGCATAAAGCTACAAAGTGGGGGGGGCTGCATAAAGCTACAAAGTGGGGGGGAGGGCTGCATAAAGCTACAAAGTGGGGGGGGAGGGCTGTATAAAGCTACAAAGTGGGGGCTGCATAAAGCTACAAAGTGGGGGGCTGCATAAAGCTACAAAGTGGGGGGCTGCATAAAGCTACAGGGGGTCTTGGATAAAGCTACAGGGGGATGCATAAAATTACAGGGGGCTGGATAAAGCTACAGGGGGCTGCATAAAGCTACAGGGGGCTGCATAAAGCTACAGGGGGCTGCATAAAGCTACAGGGGCTGGCATAAAGCTACAGGGGGGCTGCATAAAGCTACAGGGGGCTGAATAAAGCTACAGGGGGGCTGCATAAAGCTACAGGGGGCTTCATAAAGCTTCAGGGGGCTTCATAAAGCTACAGGGGGCTTCATAAAGCTACAGGGGGGCTGCATCAAGCTACACGGGGCTGCATAAAATTACAGGGGGGCTTCATAAAGCTACAGGGGGCTGCATAAAGCTACAGGGGGCTGCATAAAGCTACAGGGGGCTGCATAAAGCTACAGGGGGCTGCATAAAGCTACAGGGGGCTGCATAAAGCTACAGGGGGCTGCATAAAGCTACAGGGGGCTGCATAAAGCTACAGGGGGCTGCATAAAGCTACAGGGGGCTGCATAAAGCTACAGGGGGCTGCATAAAGCTACAGGGGGCTGCATAAAGCTACAGGGGGCTGCATAAATCTACAGGGGGCTGCATAAAGCTACAGGGGGGCTGCATAAAGCTACAGGGGGCTTCATAAAGCTTCAGGGGGCTTCATAAGCTACAGGGGGGGCTGCATAAAGCTACAGGGGGCTGCATAAAGCTACAGGGGGCTGCATAAAGCTACAGGGGGCTGCATAAAGCTACAGAAGACCACATAAAGCAACAGTAGTCTCCCTCCCCCCCCCCCAAGACCCTATAAGAGCCAGCACAAAACAAACATCTCCTCCGGCCGCTAATTAGCCTGGCACTAACAAGGGTGGCACTAACAAGGTTGGCACTAACAAGGGTGGCACTAACAAGGTTGGCACTAACAAGGTTGGCACTAACAAGGGTGGCACTAACAAGGGTGGCACTAACAAGGGTGGCACTAACAAGGTTGGCACTAACAAGGTTGGCACTAACAAGGTTGGCACTAACAAGGTTGGCACTAACAAGGGTGGCACTAACAAGGGTGGCACTAACAAGGGTGGCACTAACAAGGGTGGCACTAACAAGGGTGGCACTAACAAGGTTGGCACTAACAAGGTTGGCACTAACAAGCGGGTCGTTTGACACTCCGCCTGGCACTCCCCGCCACAAGAACCAACAAAGAGGACATTTTTAAGACCCCCGCGAGCCTCCACATGCTTGTAATTTAATGGGAATAAATCCTTATTAAACCGTAAAGGTTCGAATTCTGTTGTGGGGGGACTGGCTTCTCTTTGATTTTGGAACGGGTCGAAGGGGTTGTTTGTGTGTGTGTGTGTGTGTGTGTGTGTGTGTGTGTGGATGTATTGTGTGTGTGTGTGTGTGTGTGTGTGTGTGTGTGTGTGTGTGTGTGTGTGTGTGTGTGTGTGTGTTTGTAGTTATTATTAGTGTTTGCAGAATCGAGCTATTAGCTCTTGGGCCCCGCCTTTCTATCCAATCTATTTTTCCTTGATTATATCTACTATATATATTTCACACACACACACACACACACACACACACACACACACACACACACACACACACACGAATAATGTGTAAATACACATCCCCAGGAAGCAGCCCGTAGCACCTTTCTAACTCCAAGCTACCTATTTACTGCTAGGTAAGCAGATGCATCAAGGTGAAAGAAACTCGGCCTATTTATTTCCGTCTCAGCCTGGAATCGAACCCGGGCTCTTAGGACTACGAACCCCGAGCGCTGTCCACTCAGTCACGAGGTTTCTTGCTGCAGTTGTTGTTATAGATTCAGCTCCTGGGAGCAAAAAGTTCCAAGTAGCACGGGCTATGGCGAGCCCGTAGGACGTACCTCTTGCTGGATGATATATATACTCGAGGATGAGGTGAAGGTGAAGTGTTATGGGTCCACTGTATCGTGTCACGCACCTGTCTGCATGCTGCACTATGCTGCGTGAGGCGGCGTCGTGTTCAGCACGTTGGCACAGTGGAATTTAGTGGTTTGCTTTATGTTAAACACCTCGCCGATGTCCAGCCTTCTGTTGTATATATATATGAGACTATATGTTCCTTAATAGGTCCCTTGCTGCTTGTGCATTGTTATAGGCGGCTTGAAAGGCATGTGGTTGTCTTGCCTATATATTGAGTTCGTCGGGCCTGATATTCCCCAAGTAGGTATTTGAAGGTATAGACGGCATTGGTCTCTATCAAGCGGTTTTGTTTGGTGTCGTGAGAGTTTGTCGTGAACAAGTTGGTAATCTTCTTGCTCTTGTAGTATGTTACTACAGGGAGCCGGTCGGCCGAGCGGACAGCACGCTGGACTTGTGAGCCTGTGGTCCTGGGTTCGATCCCAGGCGCCGGCGAGAAACAATGGGCAGAGTTTCTTTCACCCTATGCCCCTGTTTCCTGGCAGTAAAATAGGTACCTGGGTGTTAGTCAGCTGTCACGTGCTGCTTCCTGAGGGTGGAGGCCTGGTCGAGGACCGGGCCGCGGGGACACTAAGAAGCCCCGAAATCATCTCAAGATAACCTAAAGATACTAGTTCAGTCCTCTGGTTGGTGTCAGTTGGGGACACATTTCCATCAGTAATGTCATTCAGGATCCTGTCTTCCGTATTGTGGGCCGTGCAGAAGGTCCTGTAGAATATATTAAGAGTAAGGACCTGTAATGTACTGCTGTCTACTATGTCTGAAGGCCCACGCCACCTCGCCTTCCTTGTGATGGTTTCCTCGACATATCCATAGCATGAGGACCTGCCTTACTCGACCCAGTTGCTCCTCAACCCGCTTCCATCATGAGCTGTGTGTGTGTGACCGAGGTTGACACAGGCATTAACAACACTCCTCTTGTATATATCAGGACACACTCTTTAGCATTATGACAACTCCCATCTTGAGATGAGATGAGATGATTTCGGGGCTTTAGTGTCCCCGCGGCCCGGTCCTCGACCAGGCCTCCACCCCCCAGGAAGCAGCCCGTGACAGCTGACTAACACCCAGGTACCTATTTTACTGCTAGGTAACAGGGGCATAGGGTGAAAGAAACTCTGCCCATTGTTTCTCGCCGGCGCCTGGGATCGAACCCAGGACCACAGGATCACAAGTCCAGCGTGCTGTCCGCTCGGCCGACCGGCTCAAGACCCATGTTATAGTTCCCTTAAGTGCAGAGTTAGAGCCGCCATTCCTTTCCCAGACTATTACATCTAGGAAAGTGGAGGTGGACTACCTTTCCTAGATGTGATAGTCTCAGGATGGAATAGTACTGTTAGTACTAATCATTTCCGCAGGAAAGGTTGTGAGTCTCTGTATGTGGGATCCTCGGTGCTGTCAGCAAGACATGTCCTCGTTCTCGTACCCACTTTCCTATTTTCCTGGCTGCCATTCCCTACCCATTTCTCCCTTCCCTACGTTTTGTTTCCGACCCTCATCCTCTCCACTCCCCCCCACCCCCAACACTTCCTACAGTACCTCGATCCTTCCCCCATAATTTTCCAAACATAACCCCCCCATTTGTTAGTCCAAAAGGATCCAATCTTCAGGGTCCCCCCTCCCACCTCCTCCCTCCCTTTGGTGTGTTCTGTCTCCTATCTCCCCATAACTCACTTTCCTCCTTACCTCACCCCCTCTCTCTCTCTCTCTCTCTCTTGACCCATAAATCACCCCCATTAGGTCACTTCTTTTACCGCCCCTCTCCTGCCCATCACACCCATTAAGTCACCTTTACCTGTTTTTTTCTAATCTCTCTCTCTCATATACCTATTTACGCAAGGGTGGCAGAGGCATGAGGTGAAAGAAACTGTACTCATTTGTTGGTGACGCGGCCGGGAAACGAACCCGTGTCCGTGGAATGTGAGTCCCGAACGCAGTCCACTTGGCTATGAGTGGGCCCTGTATGTGTACTTCCCTATTGGTACTCACCTATTTGTGCCAGCAGGATCGAGCTCGGGCTCTAGGACCCCGCTCTTCCAGCCGCTGGTTGTCTAATGCAATGACCTCCTAGCTGGCCTGTTTCTCTATCATAAAGTTATGAAGTTATGATTTTCTCTGCATGCTGTTAAAGTTATAAATGAAGTTAGCCTCTACAACCTGCTCCTTTAGGTCTACTGGACGGTAGAGCGACGGTCTCGCTTCATGCAGGTCGGCGTTCAATCCCCGACCGTCCAAATAGTTGGGCACCATTCCTTCCTTCCCCCGTCCCATCCTAAATCCTTATCCTGACCCCTTCCCAGTGCTATATAGTCGTAATAGCCTGGCGCTTTCCCCCGATAGTTTTCTTCCCTTCACTACCCTTATGCTAAAAGAAATCTTCCTGATATATCTTATAACACATCTGAATCTCAAGCTTCCGTCCGTGCCCCCCTTGTTCTATTGTTATTCATTGCAAGTATTTCATGTTTCCACCTTGTCAATCCCTCTAAGTATTTTATACGTCTGTATCATGTCCCCGCGCTCTCCCTCCTCCTTTCTAACGTCGCCAGGTTTAGTTCCTTCAGTCTGTCTTCGTATCTCATCCCCTCGCACCTCTGGGACGAGTCTCGTTCCACATTTCTGCTAGTGTGTGTACTCACCTAGTTGTGCTTGCGGGGGTTGAGCTCTGGCTCTTTGGTTCCGCCTATGTGTGTGTGTGTATGTGCTGGTGGGCGCATGCATGCTTGAAGCGAGAGAGAGAGAGAGAGAGAGAGAGAGAGAGAGAGAGAGAGAGAGAGAGAGAGAGAGAGAGAGAGAGAGAGAGAGAGACAGACAGAGACAGAGAAGCAAAGACAGAAAAATAATCAAGCCAACAATGACATAACTAGACAAACAAGTCCCCCCCCCCCACCAACCCCGCATTTCACCCCACCAACCATACCACCTCCCCCCCCCCCACCTCCAACCACCCCGCCATACGGCAGCACTAACAACCAAAACAAACAAACTAGAGTGAGTTATCCAGGCAGGAATCAGAGCCCCCCCCCCCACACCTGCCGCAGCTGCGGAATGAAAATACTATCGGCCGTCTGTAAGGCGATCCGAATGTTTATCGTGTCCCCCCCCATCCCCCCCTCCCCACCCCCCAACCCCCACCCCCCCCCCCCCAGCCATGGGATGGACAGGCTGTTCACTGACAGCTCGCTGACTGTCAGTTGTTACCGTCCAATACGTGTCTATACGACCCTCCAGGCCGTCTATATAGGCTTCAGTACGGTGTTCTTGGTTCCTATAGTTTATAGCATAGCCTCATGACCTCTATATTGGCTTCAGTACACACACCCCCCCCAAGCTATATTTCAATTTATAAGTTGGCTATATTTAGAGAGCTTTACGGAAGGAGGTAATACTGATATAAGGGCATATATATATATATATATATATATATATATATATATATATATATATATATATATATATATATATATATATATATATTACTGTGAAAAGGGGTTTTCAAGGTGGGTTATATTACAAGGGAAAAAGGATTACGGTAAAATAAGCCACAAATTACATTAAAAAAAGGGGGGAGGGAGAAGGGGGGGGGGGCAGGGGGTACAATAACACCCCCCCCCATAAAAGGGGAAGGTGGGGGAGGGGTGTAATCGAGTACTCCCACCAAAAAAAAAAAAAAGTGAGTATGAAGCCAAACTGAAGAGCCCAAAAGGCTTATATATATATATACCGCCACAACTTCTCTCACACAATCCCCAGAGTTGCGGGATGAAGCCAAAACTGGGGGGGGGGAGGTTGGGAAGAGCCTCGATCCCAGCCCCGACATGCAGTCATTCCGCGGTCCCCAGACACTGGTATACACACACACACCCGCGAAATAAATGAGTTTTTGTTATACTCGTTTCAGAAAGCTATTTAAAGAACGGCGTACAAATAGTCTGGCTATTATTTTCCTCCCGACTGAAGAGAGAGAGAGAGAGAGAGAGAGAGAGAGAGAGAGAGAGAGAGACAGAGAGAGACAGAGAGAGAGAGAGAGAGAGAGAGAGAGAGAGAGAGAGAGAGAGAGAGAGAGAGAGAGAGAGAGAGAGAGAGAGAGAGAGAGAGAGAGAGAGAGAGAGAGAGAGAGAGAGAGAGGTGAACCCTTGGCTGTTGGGTTGTTCCTGTTGCTTGTTTGGCAAC